CCTTTTAAAAAATAATATTTTTACATTTTTTTCGATGTTAATTTTTATGAAAACAAAAATTTTTTTAATGTGAGTTCCTTAATTTAAAACTTCCTTTTAAGATTTTAAATATTTTCGATTTATATTTCAAATATATGAAAAAGACTTACCAGAATTTGTATCAAACAACTATTGCCTTAATGTATTCAGACAACAATCGATAACATTTTACGTATAAAAAGCAATTCATTTGGATGAAACCTGGATTAGGAAGAAGAGAAGATTTGAAAGTAATATAATGGTTTTGCTTTCAATTTTACCAAAATACGGGATGGAATTTTTAAGGGTTAAGAATGGATTATCTCAATTCTCAGCTAAAATTTACTCATGTAGAAAAAAGTTATTTAAAAGGTCTCTAACTTTTGTTTAAAGACTTTTATCACATGCCTTCAAAATGTTTGTGGAAAATACAAAACACCACAATTTTTAGTTTTTTATTTCAATCTTTCACGAAAATTAAGGGAAACTTCGCATCTTATGTCCCACATACTATGTGTATTGTATTTTTTTATTTAAGATATTAAGTAGGACACTTTTTGGCGATTTAAAAAATGAAAATAACACTAATTTTCGATTAAAAACTCTCAGGTCAAAATATATATTTTTTTAAGTCAGCAGGCTTTATATTCATGAAAGTCTTCACTTTCTGTGGTATAAAAATTTATACGCATTACTAAGCGAATTTAGTAAACCTTTTTACCAAAAATCAATTTTTTAACATTTTTGCATAAAAGACATAATTATTTTAAAACAGCTCAACCTAAAAGTTAGTTTTATCAAGCCATATTTATGATTTTTTATATATAGTAAACCGTTAAAATTAAGCAAAAAAAAAAAAATAAAAAAAAAAAAAAAAAAAAAAAAAAAAAACAACAAAAACAAAAAAAAAAAGCAAGACAAAAAGCAATAACTTTGATATCAGACTCATAAATAAATTATTTATTCAACTAAGTGTCAAAGCTGAAAAAATGAGAAAAAAAAGCAAAATGCAACTCCTTACACTACACCATAACGAAACTAATTAAATAGTTTTTGTATATTCAAATAAAAATTTGCTTCACAAAAATAAAAAAATACAACCTAATAAATAATAAATATTCACTTGCTTTGCAGATACATTAAATAACTCCGTGAACGCAACCGTAATTAAGTTACTAAATTCTAGCAAAAATATTTGCGATTAAAAATCGATTCAAGTGGAAAAAGTCTGCGATTAGCTGACAAAACAAAAAATCTAACAAAGAGTATCTACATTAAATAAACACGAATAAATAATAATAAATAATACGCGCAAGGTGCATTTAAACCCGAAAAACATCATAATTGTGTCGCCGTATTAACAAATTTATGAATATTTTCAAGCCAAAAATAGTGTTGATAAAAAAAAAAAAAAAAAAAAAAAAAAAAAAAAAAAAAAAAAAAAAAAAAAAAAAAAAAAAAAAAAAAAAAAAAAAAAAAAAAAAAAAAACGGAATTATTTCATAAAAAACTACGATTTACAGTTTTTAAAACATATGGTTTTAAATATTAGCTGTACAGTGCTGCGATCAAAATTTATTGCAAACAAACAACTAAAAGATTAATGTTGCCATAAATCAGCGTGAAAAAATGGTAAGTCAGATTTATGTACTTTTTGCTATTTTGCCTTTTTTGCCGGCAAATTTATTGTTATTGTTTTATTGTCAAATATATTATATAAGCAAATTTAAGTTTTTGCTGAATTTTTTGAGTGTTAATAGCAAAAATTTCAGATGAATATTGCAATTATATGTAAATACAAAATACAAAACATTCGTTAGAAGAACTCGATTTTGAACGGTTGGTTTGTATCGTACTATATGCTATAATGGTTCAATCTGAAGAATTTCTTCGAAGCTTTTAGGCCTGCTTTGAGTAATAATTTATTTAAAACTTCGTGAAGATAGTTATCTTGTCAAATAGAAGAGTTGTCCATACAAAAACTTTATTTTGAACGGTTAGTTTGGATGGCAGCTATATGCTCTAGTGGCCCGATATTGGCTGTTTCGTCAAACGAGAAGCTTCTTAAGAAAATTGGGGTGTGAAAAATTTGACATCAATATCTCAAGGAGAGGACTGAGGGACTAACCCGCGTTTATCAACTTGAACAGACAGACAGAAACGAATTGCTATTGATTAGATATATGTATATATAATCACATATATGGTATGTTTACCATAGGGTCTCCAAAGTGTACTGGGTAGTACAAACTACCTTGAAAACTTAATGTGCCTTGTTCAGCGTATATATAAACACAGATAGTGTTTGAAATCGCTATAGTATGGCTTTGGGTACATCTTGTTATTTAACGCTGGTTTTATAAAATGTTTCTACGATTTTATGCAAGCTCAACTACGTTAAATGATTTTTGCTGCCTTTCCTGCTGCGCGCAGGGATTGCAGAAGGTTAGACTAGGGTTTAGGCTTACGCCTAAGCAGTTTACTGCTTTTGTGTCCTAAGAATATCCGTAGTCGTTTGCATACTTCTCTTGAGAGGTATTAGTGAGCAGTAGTACCTTTTGTTTTTCGTAGCGAGCTGGAAGTTGTGTGAGTCAAACCATGCTTGCTTCCGTATTATGACCTGATTAAACTTTTTTTCGCTCTTCTTTTGTGTCGGGCATAGAATGGATTCTTGTGCTGCTCCTGAAGTGGCCGCTATTTGTCGTGATCCCTCTGTTGCTCGATACAGTAGTTTTCTGTTACTAAGGTAGCTCCGCACCACAGCTCTGAGGAAGTTGGGGATTTGAAAGCTTTTTCAAGAGCGTTGGTCATATCCACCCATCTAGGCGTTTCGGACATCAAAGTCGTCAGCAACTATTCTTTTATATTTATGCCATCTACGCTGTGCGGCTTCTACGCTTTCAATGACGTGTTTTATGGCTCTTAGAGTTGGGTTTAAAGTCGTGTTGTCTAGGGGAAAGTCATCCAACTTAATATAGCATAGTGGACGGTATGCTAATGGCAAGTTGGGATCTTCTTTTCGCTTACTTATTAGCACCAGCTGTTGCATTTCCCAGGGTTGAGAAAGTATTCCAGATCAACCTAAGGTATAAATACATACTAAACTTCTGATTTACTTATATCAGTTGAGCAATTTCATAATATTAAATATATAATAAAGATACCAGAGTATTTATAATACCCTACTTTAGAGTTTTGGCTTAGATTTTACTTCGGAAAACAATGAACTTGGCAACGGAACCAGCTAGTTTATTGAAAAAAATATTAAACCCAATTTGATCCACTATTCTTAAACTCTTTTATCCTGTAAAAATTTATATTTTAAAGCAACAACGTAACGTTGTCAATAGAGTGATACATTTTTTAAATAAATTTTTTTGCATTTAGTGTCCTATTTATTAATACCAATTGTTCGTTCCACTCGCCATATAGTCGGGTTTGGTTATAAGCTGAATTATTGTGAAAAGCAAAAATTGCGGCAATTTACTCATTTTAATACAATATTCGAATGCATATAAACATGAGTGGAAAAAAGTAACTTATTTATTATATACATGTATACTGACTGTCATATAATGCCAGCATGATCTCATCTCAAAGCTGAAAAAACTGGATACTCGCATACACATTTGCACAGCAAAATTTTCGCTTGCAAATAAACTGTATTTTGTTTTGCCATAAAGTTTACTGGAACACATTTATATGTAGGTATATATATACATATCTGTAACAGTGTGCATATTATTGCATTTAAAAACAATTTAGATTTATTTTGTGCACAAACAATAATTACAATTCTAAATAAGTCTCGCTGCAAAAGTTGTAATTTACATAACTTTTTTTTTTTTTTGCAAATAAGACTCAGATATATATATTTTTTATATATTTGTATGTATATGTAGGTATATATATCACCTAAAGTGTGAAACAGAGTATCATCAAAAACAATATATATAACCAAACCTCAAATTTTGTTTCATATGAGTGATTTCTATAATATTACATCGTTTTTCCTTCGCCTCTAACTTATGAAAAGTGATATTCCGACATGTCGCATTTTAGGTGACGATATATATGCATATATATGTATAATTATTTCATAACCAGTATAAAATGAAAATCCAAATTTAGTTTAATTTCGAAAATATTCCACGATATACATATGAATAAAATGTGTATATCAGTAGTGTTCGAGAACTGTATAACTAGAATATGAGCTGAATGAGATTTGAACTGGTGATAAGATATATTTTGCCGGTTTCGCCTCGCTGTGTGCCAAGAAAAATTAAAATTTGCTAAAAACATATTATTATCTAAGAAGAGTTTCTTACATTTTAATAATGAAACTTAAGAAAACTACGCTCTACTATTTTGAAGGCGCTTTGGAGCTGCTCAGTGAATATTCGTGAATTACTCTTCTTCTTTACCGTTCGACTGACGAATAGTTATTAGATCTATGATTTTCAATATAAATATGTATCAGTGGTGAACAATTCAACTCATAACAGTTCTTAAATGACGTTCCTCTGATCCTTCTTTGCAAGGAGCTTGACTACACTACATCCACAGCGACCATATTCATCGACTTAATATCAATGAGCATCACATTAAAATTTCGACAGTCACAGACAGACAGACTTTATAGCCTGTATTCCTTCACTTCTCATTTGAACGATATTATTGCCAAAATATAGAACCGTCGCACAATCTTTACAACGCTAGTCGGCAGCTCATGAGAAAATTACACAAAAAAAAAAAAAAACACAAAAAAAAAAAACAAACGCTGTTGGCAACATATAGGACAATCGATCAGCCAGTTATCAATTAAGCTACACCAATATGGCCAACTGGTTGTCTTTTGGGGAAACGCAAACTAAGAAGCTTCTGCAATGCAGTCTTCTTCAGCAGTTTCTGCTGGAATGCTTTCACAGAAACTCATAGATAAGTTCTTTGAGAGGTCTTTTCTTGATTACGTGGATGACATAGAACAATACGCCGATCAGACTACATATGATCGCAACAAACTTTAGCCACGCACTGACCCCCATTCATAGTGAAGATATCAACACTTTCATGACAACCTCCCAGTGTACTTGGAGTCAAACCTACACCCATATCTGATGAAGAGCCCGAGTTTCCCCTACAATCTTGCGTAACTTTATTCTGGATACTATAGCGAGTTAAACTCCTACTTACCCTGCATTGGCGCCGACATAGCAAATTTATCTATAGCATACAATGAGTATCTAAATGCCTTCAACTAACTTTTTGCATTCCCATCGAACCCCATTCAACTAACACAACTCTCCTTATGGCGCGACCACAACCATCCAGCATGTTTCCCATTGTTACCATTAGATGACTTTGCTGGCAAGTGGGGACCAGGTAACTAAAAACGATTGACCCTCATTAATCGTCTAATTGGAAGATTAAAGAAGATATGTAATCTCGAGTCAATATGCTTTGAGGATTAGAAAATTTAAGATATCCATGACCGTAGACTCAACTTTAGTTTTAACAGTTGGCTTTATATCCGATCTAAAACAGCAAGCCAAAAGGCATTTCCAAACAACTACTGTATTCGGTATAATTTTTTAGAAATCTCTGAATGTGCTTAAAGATTGCAGTAAATATTGCAAGAGCCAGTCGGGTCTACGAATCGGAACGCATCGTGATTTTGTCTGATTTTAATGACTTAGCAGCACTCACCAAAGTAATTTCCCAGAAAAAACAGAGTGAGATGATCTCATTTCTGGTAAGTGTTGAGATAAAATGTAGGAAATATAGAAAACATCTGATTACGAGTTTTGTTGCTCCGATTTATTGACTTGGCTACACCAGTCGCTGGTAACTTCAGAATGACTACGCATTATAAGTATTTCAATATTTTCACTCTTCACGAATGTTGCTCAGACTCAGCGGAAAAGTGAAAATTGCCGCAGGGAACTGGAAAATAATGAACCGACAGCAACAACTTAATAAAATCCACGAATCTACGATTCCACGATTCCATAAAGGATGTTCTAAATCACAAAAAAGTTAGCTAATTTAAGCGAGTTAATTCGTTGACACTCCCCCTTAGTGGGCTGCCAATCAGAACCGGCCGACTGCAGCAGGAACGAAAGCTGCGGGCCGAAAAGCATAATTACCACGCGAACGTGCGGCACGTATGTACATTTATGGCGTTGAGCCTCGACTTCAAGGCATAGCAGAGTTGATTTGCGAGTGCCAACATAAGCGCGTGAGTGTGTGTGCACGCTCGCATATTTCAGTGTGTTTGCACACTTAAGTGCTGCAATTAGTGCTCCTCCCAGTGTCTAACTGAACTTAATGAATAAATAAATGCCACTAATAGTTGCCACATTTCCTGTTTAGCTGCATTCAACGTGCGCCGCTGCGCGATACAACGCAACCGTGATGTAATTGATAATGGTGAGGGGTTGGTGAGGCATGCAACAACTAATAAGTATGTATGTATGTATGTATGTATGAATGGAAGAATGCATTTGTTTGCATAAGACTCACCTGGGCAGGCAGAGCGAGTGTGCTGCCCAAACGACAACAGCAACAACAAAGACAGCAGCGGCAACAACCATCGCTCGGGCCACGCCGCAGCCGCGCAACCACATCCG